AATTCCCATCTTCAATGGGACACCCTGTACAGTGTTGCCTATATTCCACTTTAAAATGCTAAAGCACCAATTGAATCACCCTTTATTACTTTATATAAACATATAAGTACCTACATATAAAAAAAAATACCTAAAATATTATCATTAAATATTATTCATTATTATATAAATATGGTGAAAATAATATTATTCAATAAATAAGTATTAATACTAATACATGTCAGCGTTGGACTTATATTATTAATTTTCACGGTTTGTTATTAGTTTTCATGAAAAAAATGTATTATGTATAGTTATTTACATTACAAGTGCGTTTATGAACATGATTACAATAACGAGTGTGTAAGATCACACGAGTTTTGTAGTCATGTTTAAACGCGCGTGTGGTGTACAACGTTTTATCTACAGAGCGGAAAATAAGAATGTTTTTTCGATTATTTTCGTTTATTAGTAGTTGTCTACCTTCATTTTACCTTTACAGGTTTAACGTTGACATTTGTCAAATCACCAAAAATAGTTGTGTTATGAATTCATAACCTAGTCCATAACACCACTAGTTGTGTTATGAGTCTCATGACTCATGACATAACTCAAATACTAGAAAAATGGTTATGTAAAAATGTCATAACCAAACGCTTGTAGATAGTAATTGGGTTCTGTATTGATGCTATAAAGGATAATGCATCGGATTTGCAACTTTTTAAGTACAACTTTCATAAAGCAAACTACGATCAGTTAAACGATTACTTCGAAATTATCGATTGGAGTTTTTTGCAGTGCGGAGACATTGATAATGCCCTGGAAATGTTTTATACTGTACTTTACATCGCAATCGACCTGTACGTTCCAAAGACAAGAATTTCTACGCTAAAATACCCTAATTATTTCTCTAAAAAAACAATAGTTCTAATTAACAAGAAAAACAGAGCTTTTAAAAAACATAAACGAACGAAATTAAACTCAGACGAGCTTCAGTACAAAAAACTGAGATCAGAATCAAAAACCTCGATAAAGAGGGACTACGATTCCTTCGTCCAAACTGCTCAAAATAATATTTTGAATAACATTAAAGCGTTCTGGTCTTACATAAAGTCTCAACGTAAATGACTTTCAATAACGCTGACTCTAGTGATCCCAAAGTCATCGCGGATTTTTTCGCAGATTTTTTTCAGTCTACATTCACAGTTTCCGATCCCGCAATCACTATTAACCCATTACGTTTTTATATTAATAATGTTGTCCTTTCAACTATCAGAGTTAACTGCGACATTGTGCTCCAAAAACTTATTGGATTGGATGAAAAAAAGGAGCAGGACCAGATGATATACCCCCAATCTTCGTAAAAAATTGTTGTCCGACCCTGACATCTCCACTTAACACCCTATTTCAACTCTCCCTCAGCTCTGGAAAATTTCCGGACCTCTGGAAGACTGCCATCGTAACTGCTATTTTCAAAGGTGGTGAGAGGGGAAACGTCGCTAACTACCGCCCAATTTCGGGCCTGGATTGCATGGCCAAGGTTTTCGAGTCCATAGTAAATGATGAGCTTTTGTCAACTCTATACAACTGCCTCTCTGAAAATCAGCACGGCTTCCTGTCCGGTCGCTCATGCCAGACAAATTTATGCCTTTACTCTCAATACGTGTCTGCAGCTATTGACTCAGGGGACCAGGTCGACTCAGTTTATTTCGACTTTAGAAAGGCTTTCGACAGGGTTGACCATCTTATTTTGATCAGCAAACTTGAATCATTTGGCGTCACAGATCCTCTTCTAACATGGATAGCAAGTTACCTTTGTAACCGAACACAATTCGTCAGGTTTGGTGGTTCCATATCAAGAAAAATAATGGTGACATCTGGAGTACCCCAGGGCTCTCATCTAGGTCCTATATTGTTCCTTGTGTTCATCAATGACCTAGCCAACGTACTTACCAACTGCCATTTCCTCCTTTACGCCGACGATCTAAAAATCTTTAGGAAAATCACTAGCAGTCTCGATTGTTCAATTCTACAGCTCGAGATCGATAAAATATCAGAATGGTGCACATCTAATGGAACAGAATTAAACATCTCCAAATGTAAATCAATATCTTTTTTCTCGAAAAAAGCGCCCAACATTGCACACCTACTATATTTCAAGTTCTCCGCTCCCCAGAGTAGACCTTATAAATGATCTGGGAGTAATTTTTGATTCCCAATTAAGATTCAACAACCACATAAATCATATCCTATCCAAAGCTTTCAAAATGGCAGGGTTTATAATGCGAAGATGCTGGGAGTTTTCTAATGTCGAGGTACTAAAATCTCTCTATTTTTCGTTGGTGCGAAGTCACCTTGAGTATTGCTGCGTGATCTGGTCACCATATTACCAAATCCATATTAAACGCATCGAACGAGTTCAAATGAAGTTTGTTAATTTCCTATTATATAAACTCGGAATCGACAAAAACCTATTTTCCCACCAGGATCGTCTACAAATGCTGAATATACAAAGCCTGGAGATGCGTAGGGTTTTCCGTACACTAACATTCGGGTTCAATATAATTACCTATAACATAAATTGCTCTGATCTCTTAGCACTTATGAACATTCGAATACCATCTATCAATACACGTTTAAACGACATATTTTTAACTAATAGAAGCCGAACCGACGTTGGCAAAAACAGTGCTATGAACCGTATTATGCATCTTTTCAATACATATATTCCGATGAATGTCGATTTCAACTGCACTCCAATCACCTTCAAAAATAAGTTGAGATCGATATTGGCTCAATAATTTCAGACAATTCACTTGGAAAACTTACCTCTGTAATTGGTTGCAACTCCGATGTATGGGCGTGGACATTTATTTACTTAACCCTTCACTTAATTTGTTTTATTTTTATAATTATAGATCTAGTATATAAGTTATACCATTTGGAGCTTCCTCTGTTGTGTATTATATTAAATAAATAAATAAATAAATAAAAAATTTAAAGGGCCAAGCGATGCGTTCGCTGAAGCACACTCGAAAATACGGCAACGCTGGTTGCTTTTGCCTTAACATTGATACATAACAAAAACATAGCCTTGTATCATCACTACTTATTGGGCCACCCTGTATACTGGAAAATAATTTAGAAATGTAGCACTCATGTTTATCTACAAGTTTTGTATTTACTTTTTTCTTCGATCTCTGTTAGTATAGGAGATAGGGACCACCGCGCTCTTAGTAACTCACCCTGTATAAAACATATAGGTGTGTGGGTGTGTGTATGCATATACAGGGTGTCCCAAAAAGATACCGACAAACTTTGAGGGGTAGTAGGGGATATCAAAACAAGCATTTTTGTTTATATAAACATATGTCCGCAAATGAGCCATTTGGGCTGTAGAGCAAAAAAACTGTTTGGTACTATTCGCTATAATTAAATCACTGGTTACCTATTCATTTTGCTTTAGTAACAAAAAAATTATGGTCTAAAATAATTTTTCAAAATGTTGACCATTTACTTCAATGCAAAGATTGCACCGTCAGGTCATTGACTGAAAAGTTTAGTCTACGAAACACGTGTTCGTAATGAGGAAGATCTGTTAGCAAGGATACTGGAGAGTTGGACTCATGTAGAAGCTATTCCCGGAATATTCCAAAGGGTTCGCGAGTCGATGATTGTTGATTGATGATTGTTCAATTCTGAACAATTATTGTAAACCATAATTTATTGGTTAATAGAACAAAATTAATAAGTAAACAGTGATTTAATTATTGCGAAGAATAAAAGTACCAAACAGTTTTTTTGCTCTACAGCCCAAATGGCTCATTTGCGGACATATGTTTATATAAACAAAAATGCTTGTTTTGATGTCCCTAACTACCCCCTAAAGTTTGTCGGTATCTTTTTGGGACACCCTGTATCTATAAGTATAAATTATAGATGTAGAAATTCTTGACTGGCTTGTTTAATAAGTGAGATGATTCTTGGGATTCAGTCTTGGCATAAATAAAACTAGTTTTTCACAAACGCCGAGCTTTCGGAAATTTTATTGTTCCCTTTTTCAAGTGTGCAAAGTTAGTTAAATTATTTTAGAATTAGCCATTGTTAAAAAAATTATTGATTTGTTTTTTTCTTTTAACTCTTGCTCTAATCTTGGAATTTTGCGTTTGATAATTTTGAAAAGTGACGAAGTGAAAAATTACAAAAATTACCTACTTTTTTTAAATTGTATCAAAACGCCCCATTATTTTTGTCCGACAATTGATTCGATATGCGTTACACATGTAAAGAAACAGTAAAAAATAAAAATTGCATCTGTGGTTGTAAATAAAATTGTTGCAGGAAATTGACATCTTTGGCGCATCCGACTGCGCATATGCTCCGTGAAAATTGTCCGACAAGGTTACCACGTTATTGTAAAATAGGTATTTTTATGGCAGATTCTGTTCAAATCAGCCGTGTGTTAATAAATTTTTTTTTCCCATAAATTTGACATATTCAACGTGTCCGACGCGTCGAATGCCCCAATATTTTTGTCCGACACATAAGTTTCGACGGTGTGGTCATAAATAAAAAATTTAGATCTGGGCCCAAGGACTATTAGCTCTTGTACTATTATATGATTTTAGGTGTCAAATATTTGTCAAATTATGAATTAAATGCATTGAAAGGAATGACAGTAGACTTAGTCCAGGAGATTAATATGAATTATTTTTGTCCCAGATACTTTTGGTGACGATGGTACATAGACATTTTTTTTTTTCTTTTTCACGCGAACAAGAAATGCAATTACTATGAAATAAATCGCGAGAGTCCGGTCCTGGTCGAGTCACGTGACTGGCGACCTTCACCAAAGTTTACAGTCACCGACCGCGATATTACCTGTCCTGTCCTTATCCTATCACTCTCTGGTTACTTCACCCTTGACAGGAAAACTTTTTTGAGTTTTTTTCATTAATTATTTTTCAAATTTAATTTGTAATTTTTGTTTCAAATTAAAATAAATTAAATAAATGTCCTACCTTTTCTAGATTTTTAGTACAATCTGGGTTATGTAGCAAACAACCGAAAAAACATTGAAAATTCAACTATTAGGTAATTCGATTTTCACTTCCACGAATCTCAAGGAGACTTGCTGTGTATTTTAATTAATTAATTAAACAAATTATAAATTCCCGTTTTTGTTTTTAATTAAAATTAATTAATTAAACGATATAAAAATAAAAAAAACAGAACAAAATAATCGACCAGGTGCAATTTCGGGACACTGACGGGGTCTCGCGAGTCGCGATTCTCTCTCTGAAAACAATGGAAATTAAAAAACGTAATTAAGCGACATCTGACGACAAAATAACGAACTAAAATATACAAAAATAATTTACATCCTTGTCTTTTACATGTTAATAGACAAAGATACCAATACAATATGTGGAAATAAGGTTTGATATATGAACATCTGATTTTGACATTTATTTGTCACTGAGAAGGCAATTATTTATTTGTAATCGTGTGTTTGTTTTATGAGATAACTAATTAAAATTTATTGTTTTAATCAACTAAAAATCAATTAAGCAACACGTTAAATTAGGTAAGCATTTACAATGTATAATAATTTTGTATTTTTCCTATTATTGAGATTTTAGATCAACCGGAACTATTTCTTGAAGCTTTTTCTTCTATTTAACCAAATACAAAAACTCAAACGAACATTTTTTTTGGCACTTTTTTATTTAATGACAATTTATAATAATTTCCTGGTAGAAAACTAACTTACATCTACAGGTAAATTATTTGTAGAAAAACATCAATTTGCCATTGCAAACATAAATAGCAATGCATCTAGTATTTCTAACATCACCCCTCAATGGTAAATTTCTATTACAAAACTGAATAATCTTTAATTTAAATAAATGAATAACAACAAAAATCTTAAGCTTAACATGAGATCATTGAATTTTTTGTACCAATTCTTTGGTGAAGACTTGAGTCCATATAAGGATTTTCTTAGCTTTGCGATTTTTCCTTCGTTCCCATCAAAACCTTTAGGCAACGAAATATACACATCATCATCTATAAGTCCATTCAAGAATGCACTGCAAACATCTAATTGATGAATTTTACATTCAAAGTTGTTACACATTGCTAAGAAAAACCTTATTGAGGGTAATTTGGCAACAGGACTATAAACATCAGAGTTGTACATACCAGTTTGTTGAAAACCCCGTGCCACCAACCTTGCCTTATATGTTGTAACATTTCCAAACTCATCTCTCTTTCTCTTAAACACCCATTTACATTCAATTACTTTATTTTTAACTTCTTCTTCAATCACTAGAAACCAAGTCTGATTTTCTTCCAACGCACATATTTCAGTTATGATTGCTTCTATCCAATTTTTACAGTCTGAACTAGCCATTGCATCGTCATAACACATAATTTCACATTCTTCATCATCACTCATTGACAAAAACACTGTGTCTAAATCCATTTCATAGTCATCATATCTGCTCTTTCTTTTTCGTTCTCTTCTTAGATTGTATCTGCTATTTACAATTAAAATAAATAAATAAATAAATGTTTATTAACGGACCAGCCATTTACAGAAATTGGACTAATACTAAAAATAAGCATCAAAAATACAATAATCAAACAATATAACATATAGACATATCAGTTAAATCAGTTAATACAGTCCACAGCATCACATTAACACCAATTCAAAAATTAAAGTTGTTAAAAAATAAATAGAAAATAAGTACAAGTTAAAAGATTAAAATTCAATAAAACTAGTTTATAGGTATCACAGGCTCGATCACAGGATATTTTTTATTTTTGCGCCAAACACATTTAAAGAATCATTAAAGATGTCTACATCACCATTTGCAAGCAATTTATTTGCACTATCTGAAAAGCGTGTCAGAGATGAAGATAAACCATAATTCGTTCTATGAAATGGAACATTAAACAGGTTTACCCCTCTCAGATTACTCTGTGGCACTTTAAGCCCTAACAAAGATAGCAATTCTGGACAGTCTATGTAGCCGTTTAAGATTTTATATAGGGTTCCCATATCAATATATTTTCTCCTATTGCTGAGAGTTGTAAGATTAAGAGAGTTAAGTATTTCTTCATATACAATATTCTCACTTGGTATACCCAATTTAAACCCAACAAACTTCACAAACCTCTTCTGCACTCTTTCAATTTGTTGAACATACTGACCATAGTAAGGAGACCAAACCTGACAAGCATATTCCAAAATTGACCTTATGTAAGAGCAAAATAGAGTTCTAAAGCAATCAATACTACTAAAGTCTTGCAGAGTTCTTTTAACAAAACCCAGCAATTTTAATGCTCTATTAGTTATATAGTTAACATGAAAGTTGAAACTCAAGCTACTGTCAAAAAAAACACCTAGGTCTCTTAGCTTTTCTTTACTTTTAAGTGAAGTATTATCTAGGGAATAATCGAATTCAATAATATTTTTCAATCTATAAAACCTTACAATAAAACATTTTACCTACGAGCGTGCGGTAAAGTGCACTTTACCGCACATATTTGAAAATAGAAAGTAGCACTTTACCGCATACTATGCTGTAAAGTTAACTTTACCGCATAGTGTCCGGTAAAGTTAACTTTACAGCATAGTATGCGGTAAAGTGGATTACAAAGTGTGCGGTAAAGTGCACTTTACCGCATAGTGTGCGGTAAAGTAGAATTTGATATTTATTTTCAAGATTCCTTTCTTTTTCAGAAAATAGATTTTTGATCATTTCTAAATCTAATCTTCTTTCATTAATTAATCTGATTCATTAATTAATTTTATCAATGCCCTTTTTTGGAGATGTAGATGCTCATAGGTAAAATTTTGTACCTAACACATGCGAAAAGTGCCTTTACCGCCCTTAACGGCTTGACCGAACTCCGCTTCGCGTCGTTCGGTCGTGCGGTAAAGTATCACTTTCCGCATTTGTTAGGTAAATAAATATATCGACATTTAATGTCATTCCATTTCTATTACACCATTCACTCAAAGCATTTAAATCTTCTTGGATTCTCAAACAATCATTCAAATCTTCAATAACTCTGAAAATCTTTAGGTCGTCTGCATACAAAAGACATTTGGAACATATCAAGCACTCTGTTACATCATTGATGAAAATATTAAATAAAAGTGGACCCAAATGTGAACCTTGCGGAACGCCAGAGGGGACCAATATCTCTTCAGAAACAAAACTGCCTACCTTCACCTGTTGTTTTCTGTTGGTCAGATAACTATGGAACCATTGCAGGAGATTGCCAAACACACCATACCTCTCAAGCTTTCCCAAAAGCAGAGTGTGGCTAACCTAAAGCCTTTGAAAAGTCTGTGTAGATGGCATCCACCTGGTTACCCCCTTCAAGAGAACTATTCAAGAAATGCTCATAAACAAGCAAGTTACTCACGGTGGATCTTCCAGCAATAAAGCCATGTTGGTTTTCATTTAAAATTGATTGTAGTGCAGTCTTGATTTTAGAATCTATAATAATCTCAAAAACTTTTGCTATCAAAGACATTTTGCTTATTGCCCTGTAGTTAGTAACATCACTTTTTTCGCCACCTTTAAATATAAAAGTTACAAATGACTTTTTCCACACATCTGGATAGATACCAGTTAACATTGACTTAGAAAAAATAATGTTTAAAATAAAGGTCAAAATACATACACAATTTTTCAAAAATATCACAGTTATGTTATCAGGCCCTGCAGACAAATGGTCTTTAAGGCTAACAATTGCATTGTAAACATCAATTTCAATAAAATCACAAGTACTTATTGATAACGACCTAACTACATTAAAATTATAAGTAAGTATCACAATTATTATTATCACCATAAACAGTTGAGAAAAAGTCACTAAAATAGTTTACCGTAATATTTCCATCATCAGAAGATTCAGTCTTGTAAAACATGGTTTTAGGGATATCAAAAGTGTTATTTTTTTTCTTTACAAATTTCCAAAATTCCTTACTATTTTGGGTAATGCAATTTTCAGTTTTCATGATGTGTTCATGGTAGGCAACTTTAGACAAGCGCTTGCATTCAGCTCGTAAATCAGAGAAATATTTGTAGTCATTCACATTGTTCGATTCTTTAAATATTTTATGAGCCGCCCTTTTCCTAAGAATACATTCCTTCAGAGAATCATTGTACCATGATGGAAATATTGGCCGTTTTGATATTTTCTTTGGAACAAACATTTCGAAGCTATAATACACTATCTCATAAAATATGTCCACATCAGTATTTACATCATCTGAGCTCAGAACCTGAGACCAGTCAAAAGTACCAAGAAAATTATTCAGATTGATGTAATCACAATTTTTAAAATCAAAATATTCATGCGACGAGTTTAAGGTCTCAGATTGATGACTGATACAAATACTGAAGGACAGAGCCGGGTGGTAGTTGTCAAGGGGTAGTAGAGGTTCAGACATGCGTGAAACGTTCACAGAGTGAAAACATTAGTCACTATTAGATCTAAATAGGAACCAAAAATATTAGCAATAGTGTTTTTCTGATTTAAATTTAGGTATGCAAAAAAGTCTGAAAGAACTCTACACTGTGGTGACATCACACCAACCGCCCTAGTCCCATACTCATCATTTTCCCATTCCACACCTGGAATGTTAAAATCACCACAAATTATCACATCATTACATACAGTCTTCTCCATTACATTTTCGACTATTTTACAAAAAGATTCATAAAGTTCTAAGTTAGATTTAGGAGGTAAGTATACAACAAAAATTAGAATCTTACTTGCTCCTTTCCCTAAAAGCACAAACAAACATTCAATTGACCTATCATCACAAATAACTCTAGTCACAGGTACTGAATACTTAGCTGCTAAGAGTACTCCTCCACCTCTTGATTTGTCATTTGTTTCATTGGTTCCGTCACATCGAAAAACATTAAAACCTTCAAGTCCTATTTCCGCATCCTGAATATCATCATTGAGCCAAGTTTCCGTAAAGATAACAATGTCAAATTCAAATTTTTCGTGAGATGTCCAAATATCACGGAGTTTAGTCCTGATTCCTCGCACATTTTGATAGTATAAAGAAACTGACTGGTCCGTTGAATTTAAAACCTTCTGTTTCCTGTAGGTTGTCGTTGAAAATTTGAGGAATTTGGAGTGGACCTGTGATGGTATCCCTGTTTAAATCCATTACCGTTATGGTATTGACCTTGCATGGGTTGAGCTCTTCCATAATATTTATTCCTCCCGAAATGCCTTTAATCACCATTGTTGAAATTGGTGTTATTGTAGTTATTATTGTAGTTGTTGTTGTAGTACTGGCCCCTTCTAACAGTATTACTTCTAATGTCAAAGCCTGGTGCCCCCCTTCCAAAATCGAATTTTCGAAAAACATGTTTTCTGGCAAGAATGATTCGGTGTCGAGGCTATCACAGAATTTCGAATCAATGCCCAGTTTGAAAGAGTTTGTGCCACCGGATTTTAGTTTCTTCACCACAATCTGATCCTCAGTATCTAACGCAATTTTTGATCTTATATATCTCAGAACAGATGCCTCATTAGATGATCTTACAACTTTGCCAATGTAGAACCACATCTTGCTGGCTTCGCCCCTAAAATCCTCAACTGCATCTTTGCTAGTCCCAGTTATTAATTTGGGTTTGGTAAATGATTTGGCCTTATCACTATACAGAGTCCCCATTGCGCTATTTACTGCAGCTTCAACATTTTCTGCAGTGATTAAATGTTGTTCTTTGCTTGGATTTGTAATCTCTGCTTCATTAACACAAACAACAGCTTCTTTAGAGTTATTTGACACAGAGTGTCCACAGTTATCAAATGCTTGTTGAAGTTTTTCGAATTTTTCATCAAAATTGCTCTTGATAAGTTTCAATTTCTGGTCAAAATCTTTAATTAATGCTTGTTGTTGCGTACGCAATGTGGTCTCAAGGTGAGATTTCATCTGATCCACAATATTTTGGGCATTATCTTGGCATCCCCGTACTGATTGAATACACTTTTCACAAGCAAAAAGTAGTACCCTTTTAACAAGACGGGTCACCTGAGCCTTTGAGATGGACAGTTTGGCACAGGATAAACAATGCACATCACCACAGTAGTCACAAATCATTTTGTAATCAATTTCTTTACTTGTTAAATCCTTTTTACATTTTGAGCAAGTTGACATTTTTATTTATTTATATATGTTCCCAGTGTAAATATTCCTATCTCACAACAATGTACCGCTGGCAGCACCAATACAACACACAAACACAATCGAGGTCACCCAAGGTCAGAGATCGCTACCAAAAAATTATCGCGAACTTGTGCCTTACGAACAGAAAAAAACACAAATATCACTTTAACAATAGATGGAGCACAACCAATAATCCAATGTAGAACACCACACAAATTATTTAATTTGAAAATACACTCAAAAATCAGTTTTAATCGGAGCAAAAACATAAACAAACAATCTCCCTACAAGCCGTGTTGCCGTTGCCGTTAATTTCTTCATTAATTTCAGAATCATCATCCTCACTGCCTTGATACACACTACTGTCTTCATTCCCATTTTCAATAAAATTTCCAGCATTTTCATCCAAATTTTCACTGTTTTCTGATTTGTTTTCATTATTCTCCCTATATTCCAAGTCATTTGTTACTTCTTCATTGTTTTCTTCCATCATTTTTATTGTTTCATCTGTCTCATTTTCTACTTTAGTTTTTTCTGGCAAGAAAATAACATCTCTGTGGATTTCCATTTTTCGTTTCTCAAGAATATATACCCTGAATCCTTTTGTATCTTTTCCATATCCAATAAAAATTCCTATTTTACTCTTTGGATCCCATTTTAGCCTTGTTTCTTTAGGAAGGTGCACGGATACAGTACTGCCAAAGACTTTGAAGTTGTGTATATCTACAGTTTTTTTGTGCCATAATTCAAAAGGAGTGGAATATTTTTGAGGACTTGGACCTGTTCTGTTCAGTGTGTATGTAATAGTGTTAATATCTTCAGCCCAAAAGGTTTTATCTAATTTTTTAGTGCTGTTCAATAAAGTTCTTGCTGCTTCTACCAAGGTTCTATTTTCACGTTCTGCCCTTCCATTTTGTTCAGGTGTATAGACCACAGTTCTTTGGTGTCGAATGCCTTTTTCATCCAACATTTCCTTGACATCTTTATTTATAAATTCCAGACCTCTGTTCGCAAAATTTTCATTTTAAAACTTGTTTCTCGCTCTGCTAAATTTATAAATTTTTTAATGTATGTTTTGACCTCTGATTTTTGCTTTAAAAAATATACACATCTAAATGATGAAAATTCGTCTTTGAGAAGAAAGAAGTAGCGAGAGCCTCCCAATGACGTTGTCTCCATAGGCCCGCAAACATCAGCATGCACCAACTCCAAAGAAGCAGTGGCCCTTGATTCGCTATTTCCAAAACTTGATCGATGCTGTTTTCCGGCAAGACATGGTTCACATACAAAATCCTTTTCACAATCTGTAAATTCAACATTATTTCTCTTCAGGATTTCTCTTACATGTTTTAAATTTTGATGACCCAACCTTTTATGCCATTCTTTAATATTATCTATTGTTTTTACTTTCATGCAATCATAAGGTTTACTTAGTATCGAATTCATCGACTCCTAACGAACCAATTTTTCTTTCTAATGCCTGTTCCTGTAAATCTTGTGCAAAGCAAGTTGATATATTATTATAGTCCTTATTTTCATAGCTAAAATGCATTTTATATAATTTATTAATTCTTGTAGCTAGGGCTCTTATATTGCCATGTCCATCAACAAATTGACATGTTTCATGATCTGACATCATAAAATACCCTTTGTCTAGAGCACATCCTGCTGAAAACAAGTTGAACTTCAAATCAGGTACGAACAGAACATTTGATAGGATGGTTTTTATTAATTTCTGACCGTTGTATGCCCATAATGTTATTTTTCCAATGCCCTTTACCTCGAGCTTTTGGTCATTTCCAACTTGAACCATCTTTGATACATTCAGGTCATTTATGTTCTCGAATAAATCCTTGTCCCAACACATGTGTTCACTAGCACCAAAATCCAGACACCAGTCGCCTGATCTTAATTTGTTGCTATAAACCATAAATGCATTTTCCGAGTCTATATTTTCCTTTTTATTATTTATACTTTCTTTTCCCTTTTTTATCCAACACTGATCGATATTGTGATTTTTCTTTTTACAATATGTACAAAATTTCCTTGTTTGTGATCTGTCTCCTCCAAATTCTTCTTGGTTTTCTGATCTCTGTCCTGCTGGGTTATTTTTATTTCTGAAAAAACAATTTTTTGAAATGTGAACTGGTTTTGAACAAATGTAGCAGCGTCTTATTTGCCCTGTCCTGTTTTGGTTCATATTCACTTTATTAGCAACTAGTGCAATCAAATTTTCTTGTGATTTACACCTTTCTTCTTCCAACAACAGCCGAGATGTGAGTTCCTCTAAAGTCTGATTATCTGCAGCAACGGACTCCCATGCTGATCTAAAATGTATGTATTTTTCTGGCAAGGACATTAAGATTTTAGTTATGATCATTTTTTCTGAGAGTATTTCACCTGCTGTTTTTAATTTTGTTTTAATTTCTTCAATTTGAGATAAAAAATCTGATACATCTTTGTTGTAGTAAATGGATACTTACTACCGACTCTCTATCGTACACTGCCTTCAGCTTTTGCCACATATCCTTCGACGTATCACATGACAAAATATGTGTAAGTGGACTCTGTTCCATTCTTGTTACAAGAAGTTCTTGAGCTTTTGCATCATCCTTGAGCCACTTGTTTAAATCATCCCCTGCTGCTAAAGGTTTTACTCTGGAACCATCCACAATGTCAAAATATCCTCTGCCCTTCAAAATAATTGTTGTTTGAAATTTCCACACTGGCCAATTTCCTCCCGTTAACTTTAGTGTCATATCGCTGTTCATTTTGTTTTCGTTTTTCTTATTTTTTGTTGTTTTTATGCACAAAGGCTGCACTTTTCCGAAACTGTCACTTTTATATGCCGAACCAACTAGTCCCGTTTTCACGTATGTATGACTGGACCCGTAACCTATTGAGATTTTAGATCAACCGGAACTATTTCTTGAAGCTTTTTCTTCTATTTAACCAAATACAAAAGCTCAAACGAACATTTTTTTCGGCACTTTTTATTTAATGACAATTCTTAATGACAATTTATAATAATTTCCTGGTAGAAAACTAACTTACATCTACAGGTAAATTAATTGTAGAAAAACATCAATTTGCCATTGCAAACATAAATAGCAATGCATCTAGTATTTCTAACACCTATGACAAGCAATAGCTATTTATATAACAAGTACATAAAGTAAGGCTTTATTGTACGAATAATTTTATGGCCAAGCGAGCTTACGAGCGAGGCTATTAAATAATGAGTCAATAAAGCCTGTTTATGTAAGCGTTATATACATGATTTTATGTACGATTCTGACTGGTTTTTGTTAAAAATTTAAAAAAATTGATTGAAAAAAGTAAAATTCGCGTAGATATACCTGTTTCACCTTGGCAGGTTGTCAGGACCTGTTTCACCTTATCAGGTAGTCCAGGTAGGCAATAAAGTAGCACTTTATTTTACTAGTACAATAAAGTGCTACTTTATTGACGCAGAACTGTTCTATAAATAGCACTTTATTGGTCAATCGGACATAAAATTATTTAACAAATTAAATAAATTATTAATTGACGAGACAAAGGGGTTGTTGTTAAGCAGAAAACCCACTAATTAAATCATTAAAAATTATAAAAGTCATCTTTTTATTATAGATGGCATAAACAAATAACAAAAATAATGCGTTCAACAACTAAAAACCCCCTATTGAAAGTAGTAATTTTGGGTGACGGTGGTGTAGGCAAAAGCTGCCTGATGAACCGTTTCGTCTCGAATCAATTCGACGAACATTCCTTCCACACAATCGGGGTGGAATTTTTAAATAAGGACTTGGACATCGAAGGACAAACCTACACTTTACAAGTAAGAACTTGTTAATTTGGACCAAGTACCTAAATATTGGCGTACTTGATCCAAATATACTTGGACTTTGTCAACCTGGCTTAAGGGTTTTATTTAATAAAGTCATTGTAGATTTGGGATACTGCAGGTCAAGAAAGGTTCAAAACTTTGCGAACTCCTTTTTATAGGGGCAGCGATATTTGTATGTTAACTTATGCCATTGATGATAAAATGAGTTTTAAAAATTTGGAAATGTGGCGCAAAGAGTTTGCATATTATGCTGATCTCAAGGAGAGTAATCAGATACCTTTTATTGTTGTAGGAAATAAGGTACAATATTACCACTATATAAGGCAATATTGTACTAATTCATTTATTACAGTCTGATGTCTCTAGTGAAGCAAGAGAAGTTTCCCAGCTAGAAATGGAAACTTGGTGCAATGAAAACAGTATAACTTCGTGTATAGAAACTTCAGCTAAAAGTGCCAGCAATGTAGAGGAAGCTTTTAAAATGGCTGTACAACATTGGTTAAGGTGCTAAGCCCTAAATAAAAAAAAAAATTGTTTTATAGGGTTTATTTTTTAGGCTGGAATCTAGGGCAGATATCAATGAAACCCATGTAAATGATACTGTGGATTTGTCTAAAAAAATTGGTGATAGTAATAGAATGTCTTGTTGTGTGGGAGGCGGGGCTGCAGGAGATGATGATACAAATAATTAGACTAAAGGAAATCAAGCACAAAATTAGTTAAGTTACCCTGAGGTAAAAAAATAACTGTTATTTTGCCTTTGCTGATTATTGCATTCGCACAAGTACCATATCAAAAATAGAGTATTATTTAAGGGTATGTTATCAGGACATACTTGAGGTGTAGCTAAATTTATATAAAAAAATATTTTTGTATTATTTCTTGTTCCTTATTCTTTTATTTGATAGACTAATAAGATGATATTTCTTTTAATTTCTTCTACTCAGGATATATAAACCAAAACAACTCAATTTAATTTGTTTGTCTTAAAGCAATATTAATTAATATTAGGTATTTAGGCTTGTTGTCGCCCTTCTTGGTAGTTTATTTTCAAAAGAGATTTGTATATTTTATAAGGTTTAAGCTTTTGTACGGCAGTGTAATAAAAAGGGACATTTATTTAACTTGTTGTTTTATATGTTCGAGGTCTGATGGTGACGTCATAAAAGTTATCAAGGTTTATGTTTGTCTTTTGCTTTTTCATGCTGTTAGAAAGAGACACCATATATTTTCCTTGTTAATGTCAAAGAATTGGAAAATAGTTTCGATATTTGCTTGAAGACTTCTTCAATCAAAATACTACTTAAAAAATATTGATTATTATTATTTTTTTTATACAAAATACTGCAAAGTACATTTTTATGTGTATAAAAATCCAAGTTTTACATTATAAAGCACAAATAATAAAGTGAATAATATTTTATTTACAAATATAGAAAAATAAGGTAGGTGAGGTTTACTTGAATCATCATCAAATAGATCCCTAATTTTCTCCAGCCAGAAGTATTTTTTTATAAGACAATGGGTAGTTTTCCCAAAATTGCCTTCGAAAAGGAACTGCACAGAAAATACCTCAATAGATTTTTACACGGCCAAATCCCTTCGTATTTAGCCAACATGGACACAACAAGGTACTCATAATCCTCAAAAATAACAAATTATTAAATTAATGTTCCTTTTTAGGTCGGTCCTAATGTATTTTTGCATAGCAGGCCTAGACATCCTAAACGAAATAGACCACATACCTCAAGAACGTAAAGACCAAATGATAGAGTGGGTTTATAGCTTGCAAGTATCCAACAATAAGGAATTAGTTAGCGGTTTTCAAGGGTCTACTACAATGAATACCAGAGAAGTGCCCTCAAATGAAATGCCATACGAATGGGGGCATATTGCAACCACCTACTCGTGTTTATTGACTTTATTAATTCTAGAAGATGATTTGAGTAGGGTTAATAGAAAAGAGATTATAAGAAGCTTAAAAGCGTTACAATTAGAGGATGGTTCATTTACAGCTGCTATACAAGGTGCAGAAAGCGATATGAGATTTGTTTTTTGTGCTGCCAGTATTTCATATATTTTAAACGATTGGAGTGGCATTGATGTTGACAAAATGGTGGAGTTTATTCTAAAAAGCATAGTAAGAATTATCAAGTCTGTTTCTGCAGAAATCACAAACAAATTTCACTAGTTTTTTGACTGTTTTTAACCCATGACTGGTTTCTGATATTTGTGCAAACAGACCTTATTGTTGGTAATGTTTAGGGGTCTATTAATGGTTTACTTTTATAGTCTTATGACGGTGGTATAGGGCAAGGCCCCAATTTGGAAAGCCATTGTGGGTCGACGTTTTGCGCCATTGCCTCTTTGTCGCTCAGTGATAATTTACACAGGTTGTCTAGTCAGCAATTTTTGAATTTGCGACGTTGGTTATTGTTACGGTTAGATACAGGTGAGTAACTTTCATGATTTTTCTGTTTAAAGCAGTCTTTAATCAGCTCTTTACATTCGTACTTTTCTTAGACATATTTTTACCATTCTACAAGGATGTTATTAAGTTGAATGTCAATATAAGAAACTGGTTCTTGACTACTCACCTCTAATGTTCCTCGATTTTTATCAGACCCTTTCCGTATGAGGAGCGAGAGGGTGAAGTATATGGTAAAAACAGGTGTTCTAATGTAGGATGCCATCGGATCACATTTCTTTCGAGTATCAGATAAAAATTGATTTCACTTTAAGGCGGTTACACACAAACGTGGATGTCTTGATACATATACGTACATACATCAACATGCAAACAACAAAGTGCATGTCGCGTTTGTACAGATGCTCGCACAAAACTGCAGTCTTGCTATTCTTGCTACAGTAATCCGAGTGTGCATACAAAATTTCTAGCGATTCCACATTCAAAAACGTGACGGTATTTTGCATACACATTGATGTTTTTGTTTTCGCGCTCATGTATGTGCGTACATGCTTTTAGACATCCACGTCCGTGTGTAACCGCCTTTAAACCTACCTCTAGCACAATCATCAGATCAGATCACTACCTACCAGTCCCACCACTAACTAATTTTCGAAAAATTCCCCACTTCTAGCCCCACCAAAGAAAGTGGAGGGATATGAAAGGTGGCACCTCATAGAGTGGGGATCTTAGGGTAGGAATTTTTTGAAATTGGATTAATGGGGGGGTTTACAGTGGAGATGGAAAGTGGGCAGTGGTTTGATGACTGTGCTAGAAGGGGGTTTTACCATAGAAGTGGGTAGTGGCAAAACAAAAATGGGACAATCAACTGTTGATGGGATTTTGATTTGGGGAAAACTAAAATTTAAATTATTCTAGCTCTTGCCTTAAGCCTAGTACTCATAACTGCGAAATTCGCATTTTTTTGACATTGCGTTGAAAATTTGACGTTTTATGCGTGTATATATTTTAAGAATCAAAGAATGGTTCAGTTCAAATTTTTTAACCCTCAACATTTCGAAAACAAACATTGTTTCTTTCAAGTGTCACATAGGAGATGTTTTTCTAAATACCGAGGTTGTGCAAAGTTCACATATCAATAAATTTTTGGGCCTACATATTGACGATAAATTGAAATTTGAAAGCCACGTTTTTCAGTTGAATAAAAAACTTTCGGGTGGGTGCTTTGCATTGAGGACAGTTTCTCGAGAGTTAGACATGTCTATGGCAAGAAATGTATATTTTGCGCTGATTGACTCTCATTTACGGTATGGAGTCTGTTTTTGGGGATGGTGTTCTGATCACCTGTTTAACTCAGTTTTTATTCTGCAGAAGCGAGCTATTAGGTTCTTATGTAAATTAAATATCCGAGAATCCTGCAGACCTTATTTTTTGTCGCTCGGAATATTAACACTGGCATGTATATTTATATTGGAATCAGTCTGCCTTACGCATGACAAGTTCCACAATGAGATCCTGACTGCTGGGGCTTATGCAACTCGGTCATCGCACATTGCTCCTCTACCTATCCCCTTAACAACGCTAGTAAAAAAATCTGTTATCTATAATAGTAAAAAGCTTTTTAACCACCTGCCTTCTAATGTCCGTGAGATATGCAACAAAGAGCAATTTAGGGGGAAGGTAAAGAGGATACTGGTTGGGAGGGCTTACTATTCGGTTGCTGAATTTTTCAGTGATACTTTTGCTTAGTGTCTTTTCGTTTACAGTTTAGTTTGTCTTATATTTTACTCACTGACTTATTACTTTATACATGTCTAGTATTTAAGTATGTTACCTTTAATGTCTTTTAATGTGTTATTTTAATCTATGTAGTTTATTTTATAAGAGTATTTTAGCAGCACAGTCTTGTTTCATTTTATTTGATGATTTTTTTTTTTTTTTTTTTTAATTTTAAGCGTGTATTTGCTACAACTTTTATTTTTAAGTTTGCTTTGATAAAGAGATGTTATAATTCTTATATCAATAAAGCTATTTTTGACTTTTGACTTTGACTTTGTATCAAACGTTAAATTGTCGAAGCAATGTCAAAAAAATGTGAATTTCGCAGTTATGAGTACTAGGCTTTAAAGCAGCCTAGTCTGACTGTCACTTAACCTTAACCAGTGTTGCCAACCCTTTAGAATAAAATTTCCCACTCAAATGTGCTAAAACTTCTATTCTACGAGTCTAGTCGGAAAGTCGAAATTCGTATCGAATTGTCAAAATAGCGATTCTATTTTTCAATATTTCGATAAGTATACGTAGATATGTAGTATAAATATACGGGGTACTTCCGCTGTCTTATTCGATATTGAGTGTCATAACAGATATCTATGGCTATATACCAGGGCTGAGATCACAACAAGTAGAATTCTACTTTTATGACGTCACCCGCGAGTTATTTATTGCGTACAATTCAGGCGATGATGATGGTTGCTAGGCAACCTGACGTCATGAAAGTAGAATTCTGCTTGTCGTGATCCTAGCACCAGTCTGTTCCAACACATCAAAAACCGTCCCATGAACAGTTTGGAAATCACTCTGTATACGAATTTTAGATTCTACGCTCAAATTTTAGAGTTTGCGCAGAATCATGATGGTACATACAGGGTGGGGCACGAAAAACTTCTCACCCAGAGTTTCTCAGGTGTTAGATGATTGATCAAAAATCGCTCAGACACATCAATTTTTATTTTTTAGGAGATACATTTTATTGGTATTTTTACCCCCTACCTGTGAACCCCTTAGTGGAGATTTCAAATGAAAAGAGGGGTCGAGTGATATGTCACTTGGTAGCTATTTTCATTGAGATTATATCCCCGAAGTTTTAAGTTGCTACTATTTATACCCTGCCGAAATGGCGGCATGTCAAAGTTAAGATAAATGCTTTTTTTGCGTAGGTAGGTAACCGGTAAAAACCACACTGCTTTTTTCCATTGATTTTTCCTAACTTTGACAAGCCGCCATTTCGACAGGGTAAACAGTAGCAACCTAAAACTTCGGGGATATAATCTTAATGAAAATAGCTATCAAATGACATATGACTCGACCTCCCTTTCCATTTGAAATTTTGGGGGTACCTGTCACCCCCACTTAGGGGTTGACAGGTAAGGGGTGAAAATACCAATAAAATGTGTCCTCCAAAAAATAAAAACTGACGTGTTCGAGCGATTTTTAATTAATCACCTAACACCTGAGAAAACCTAGGTGGGAAGTTTTTCGTGCTCCACCCTGTATATCCTATTCACAATCCGTAGTCCAAAGGTAAAGGTAAATTTATCACCTTTCCCTATCAAATAGCATTGAAAGGTGATAAATTTTACCTTCACCTTTCTTTGGACATCGGAATATGAATAGATATTAGTACGGTTTCCTGTTGTGTAGGAACAAAGTTCATATTAGCTTATTTCCAGTCTCAATGTTTCCAGTCGATCAATTCATTTGTCAATTAGGATAAACCTTCAACTTATTGAAAAATAGTTGGACAACTGGAAATTACCGTTCTAGAATGGTTCTCATGTCTGTTGGAACAGAACTATTGACTGTGACAGCTTACAGCGTACTTTACAATCTGGATGTGGAGCCATTTTGTTGCAAAATGCTAAACGTTATTGGTTTAAGAACCATGGAGACATAGTGAATAATAAATAAATAAATAAATAATATTGACAGTTCGACCGCTGACTGGCGTTGACATTTGACTATGTTGACAAGGCAAGGATAAGATGATTTTTGGGATCTTTTAAAACATGACAACGCTGCAAGAAGCTGACAATTTTCATAAAAATGTTTATTTTTCAGTTTTATTTCCAGAAATTCTCATAAAAACGTTATTTTTCAATTTGATTCCTTTGAATTAACAAAATTTCCCATGAAAACATGTAATTTTAGCATTTTTCCCTTTTTTCCATTTCAAATATTTTCGTTCCACGAAAAGGGAAATTTCCTACGAGTTGGCATCATTGCGCTTAACCCACTTCCACTGTAAGTAGACCCCCCCATTAATTTATTTTCAGAAACTGCCTACCTTCAAATCCCCCACTCTGAGCCCCACCAAAGAAAGTGGAGGGATATAAAAGGCGGCATCTCAAAGTGGGGGATTTTAGTAGGAAGTTTTTAAAAATGGATTATGGGGGTTTTTTTTAGGGAAGGGTGTTTACCTACAGTGGAAGTGGGATATAGGTGGTAGTCTAGAGTGGGGGGTTTTACAGTGGAACCAATCAAGAATTGATGAAAATTTGATTGGAAAAACTAAAATTTAAATGTTCTCTGCTGAAAATTCCTATTTTTGAATTTTTCTTTCTTTATTTTGACTCAGAAATCGATAGGTCTGTTTCTACAGAAATCACAAACCAGTCAGAGTGATTTTCATTGGTTGAAACTAGTTTTCTGACTGTTTTCAACCAATGAAATTCGCTCTGACTGATTTGTGATTTCTACAGAAACACTAGAAACAGAACAGGGGCGCAGCGTTCCCATGAGAGCGAGTGTTCCGTCTTTCTCAATTATATGCAACTGATAATATCAGTAAAGAAAACGGAACACTCGTTCTCCTGGGAACGCTGCTCCCCCGTCCCAAGAATAAGGACCCTGATAGAGCGAGTGTAAATTAGTCAGAAACAACTCTAACATCAATAACATTTGAAAATTTTATTCAGAAAAAAAAAATCCCAAAGAAAATCTCATTTTTGACTCTGGAAATTTTTTGAAATCTTGTCATGCTCATCAATAATTGCTCATTCTTTCGACTATATTTGAACAAATTGCCTATAATTATGCATTATTGGAAAGAGCATTAAATTCTCTATAAGCCTGTGCAAAATTGATTTTTGTAACTCTAGGAATTTTCTAAATATTCAGCTTTAAATTTAAAACTTTAAACTCGATTTGCTTAAAAACCGTGAATTTTCATTCTATTTCAACTAAGGACCATTTTGAAGCACTTATTAATTAGAGACCTAAGTTAAGTTGACATTCAATTAGAAAACACCCTGTATGATAATTCTGATTCTATGATAAATGAATAGTAGGTAGTTAATATGACTAAATAGTGAACAAATATCTTTAGGTTTCAATGGTAGACCAAACAAACCAACAGACACGTGCTATTCCTTCTGGACCGGTGGCGCACTCAAAATCCTAGAAGCATATCAATTCATTGACTCAGAACAAAATCCTAACTTCGTCCTTATGACTCAAGACAAATATGGTGGCTTTTCAAAGTGGGTCAATAGCACTGCGGATCCGATGCACACTTACTTCGGCTTGGCAGGTCTCAGTCTTATGGATTATGGCGGTTTGAACGAAATGTTTCCAAAGCTGAATTGCACGAGACGGGTGCACGAACGTTTAGTAATTCTACACACTCAATGGAAATAAATTTGTGTTTTTTTTTTCAACTAAGTAACCAAGTTTTTATTTACCAAATTAACTGTACAGTCGCTTATACCAAGAGAATAAAATCACAGATATATTATTGTATACAACACAAGGCAAAATTATAATAATTGATATAAAAAGTTTGAAAAACTGAATTATGGCACCCACAATATTAGGAACCAATAATTTTCTTGGTAAACTATCAAAAGTGCCTTAAGCCTACAACATTTAAAAGAAAAACTGCTATACATTATCCTACAGAGGGTTGACTATATTAAACAACAAAAATAGCTTTTTTTTTTTGGGTTTACCCTAAATTCCCATATAATTCAATTTAGCTTGAGGTATTCAAGTTGTTCTAAAAAAAAAGAGTTGGGATCAAATAAAACATATCACGATAAATTAAGATACAACGTCGATTTCTCTAGGAGATGCTAGAGCAGGGGGTACAACTTGCTGTATGATATTGTGAGAGGGACTATTACCCAGAGGCTGTCTAACGCGATTTTCAGCATTTTCTTTAGCTTCAGCCGTGGCTTGTTTGATAGCTTCTTTATAAGGGCCTTTTTTCTTTTTATTATGCCTTATCTAAAAAAAAAAAATAATTGATAAAAATATCTTTAATCAAATGCAATTCTTGCCTTAAAATTATCCAAAAAGTGACTCAACTGATCACATTGCATCAAACTAGAAGTGGCAGATCCGTACCAAGCGACGTGCGCTTGAGGCCCTTGCGAACCGCCACTGGTTATGGTCAAAATTTTTCCAGGCCACCACGGGAATCCTTGAATTTTGCCCCAAACGACGTCGCCGACTAAAAGCCGAACGCCATCGGCCCCCAAAGAACTTGATAGTGTTTGGACGTTGATTCTTAACATCAAATTAGGTGCTGGAAAATCGGGCATCGATTCGCTTCCTTGTTCGTCTGAACTTGAACTTGTTTCTTCTTGTAATGTGTAAGAAGTGTTGTTTAAGCGTTTTAGGTTTATTGACAATTTTTGGGTGATGCATTGTTCTTTTGAGTCTTCTTGAGTGGTACTACCAACCTAAGAAAGATATTGTTTTAGCAGATTGGGTATTGAGTTGCAAATTTTGTTTTACTTCGCTTTCCTTATGTTTTCTGTCCTCTCGGTGTTTCTTTTTGTGTTTCATTTTGCGTTTTCTGCGTCGCGGAACTGTAATTTCAAAAGGTGATATCATATACCTTGGAGAATTGTTACCTAGAAAAAGGTAAATTTCGTGACTAATTGAAATTTCAAGAAGGCAACGAAAATTCAAAAGCCAGGAATAGACAAGAAATTCAAAAAAGATTAATATACAGAGTGAAGTACCTACAACATGGGGATTTTGGAAACCATTGATGATACAGGGTGGACCACTGATTTCTAAATTTTCTTTATTATGAAAAATCCCTAATACAAATGTTCACTTACCCAATCCTTGTCTAGGTGAAGCAGCACCAACGTGATGGTACCTAGGACTGGAACCACCCAAAGTATATCTTGGAGAAGCTGCTGGACTATATCTGGGCGATGCTCCTGGACTGGGTAAGTACCTCGGAGAAGCTCCACCTAAAAATGTATATTCATTTTATTTATATAATCATAAACCCTATGTTCTTACCTAAATACAAGGGACTTCCTCCAAGTATCATCTTCCTTCTCGCTTCTTTTTTCGCTCGTTTCATCGCCTTTCTTGCCGCTTTGGTGTTGAGCATTTTGACTGAAACCCCCTGCCCCACAACAGGCATATCGACATTCTCCTCGGAATCGTCATCTGTGATATTGTCTGGGGTGCCGGAAATTGGGACATTGGTTAAGAGACCAAACAACAATTTTTATTTTTTGTATAATAAATTGTGCCCAAAAAAATTATACAAGTTGTGATTTATTAAATAAAAATCCTGTTTATTTTAATGGGGTTTTAGAAAACTTGTGATAAAACATTGAGGTAGATAGTTATTATTAATAAAAGTGTAAGTATATTTTAAAATATAAAAATAATCAAATCAAATAACCTATTTGTGCTGGTATTTTCAAAACGGTTCCTTCGCCTTGAGGCCCATAAGATATTTTTATTGTCCTTGTATTCGAGGTAATATTGCCTGCTGAACCGCTGCTGGATTGTGGCTCGTTATTGCTACTTTCGTCGTCTGTTGTGCCAGCACTTTTTTTCTTCCTATAACCAAATTAAAAAATTGATAAATCACCCCAAATTGCTTAACAGGATTTTATTTCTGGAATTATACGTCAAAATTTTCAGGGATTGTAGTCCTATCTATAATAGAAAAAAAGTTATGACCTTTCAAAGTTTTCCAAAATCTAAATCATAAGGTAGCTACCTTCTTACTAAAACGATGAAATTTCAATTTTTTTTTTGTCGAGATCTTGTATCCTAATGGTCGATTAACATACCCCAAACTCCATATACAAAATTATTCTCATATTTGAAGCCGAAATCTATGGAAAAAGGCACTCAGAAAAATTGAAAAATTGATAAATCACCCCAAATTGCTTAACACGATTTTATCTCAGGAACTATAAGTGCAAATGAGCTGAATTTTTCAGGGATTGTAGTCCTTTGAAAATGATAAAATTCAGTGAAAGATTCAGCTTTCTATCTATAATAGAAAAAAAGTTATGACTTTTCAAAGTTTTCCAAAAAAATCATAAGGGGGGTACCTTCTTACTAAAACGATGAAATTTCAATTTTTTTTTTGTCGAGATTATGTATCCTAATGGTCAATCAACATACCCCGAACTCCATACAATAATTTATTCTGAGATTTGAAGCCGAAATCTATGAAAAAAGGCACTCAGAAAAATTGAAAAATTGATAAGTCACCCCAAATTGCTTAACACGATTTTATCTCAGGAAACTATACGTGCAAATGAGCTGAATTTTTCAGGGATTGTAGTCCTTTGAAAATGATAAAATTCAGTGAAAGATTCAGCTTTCTATCTATAATAGAAAAAAAGTTATGACTTTTCAAAGTTTTCCAAAAAAAATCATAAGGGGGGTACCTTCCTACTAAAACGATGAAATTTCAATTTTTTTTTTGTCGAGATTATGTATCCTAATGGTCAATCAACATACCCCGAACTCCATACAATAATTTATTCTGAGATTTGAAGCCGAAATCTATGAAAAAAGGCACTCAGAAAAATTGAAAAATTGATAAATCACCCCAAATTGCTTAACACGATTTTATCTCAGGAACTATAAGTGCAAATGAGCTGAATTTTTCAGGGATTGTAGTCCTTTGAAAATGATAAAATTCAGTGAAAGATTCAGCTTTCTATCTATAATAGAAAAAAAGTTATGACTTTTCAAGTTTTCCAAAAAAATCATAAGGGGGGTACCTTCCTACTAAAACGATGAAATTTCAATTTTTTTTTTTGTCGAGATTATGTATCCTAATGGTCAATCAACATACCCCGAACTCCATACAATAATTTATTCTGAGATTTGAAGCCGAAATCTATGAAAAAAGGCACTCAGAAAAATTGAAAAATTGATAAATCACCCCAAATTGCTTAACACGATTTTATCTCAGGAACTATAAGTGCAAATGAGCTGAATTTTTCAGGGATTGTAGTCCTTTGAAAATGATAAAATTCAGTGAAAGATTCAGCTTTCTATCTATAATAGAAAAAAAGTTATGACTTTTCAAAGTTTTCCAAAAAAATCATAAGGGGGGTACCTTCTTACTAAAACGATGAAATTTCAATTTTTTTTTTTGTCGAGATTATGTATCCTAATGGTCAATCAACATACCCCGAACTCCATACAATAATTTATTCTGAGATTTGAAGCCGAAATCTATGAAAAAAGGCACTCAGAAAAATTGAAAAATTGATAAATCACCCCAAATTGCTTAACACGATTTTATCTCAGGAACTATAAGTGCAAATGAGCTGAATTTTTCAGGGATTGTAGTCCTTTGAAAATGATAAAATTCAGTGAAAGATTCAGCTTTCTATCTATAATAGAAAAAAAGTTATGACTTTTCAAAGTTTTCCAAAAAAATAATAAGGGGGGTACCTTCCTACTAAAACGATGAAATTTCAATTTTTTTTTTGTCGAGATTATGTATCCTAATAGTCAATCAACATACCCCGAACTCCATACAATAATTTATTCTGAGATTTGAAGCCGAAATCTATGAAAAAAGGCACTCAGAAAAATTGAAAAATTGATAAGTCACCCCAAATTGCTTAACACGATTTTATCTCAGGAACTATAAGTGCAAATGAGCTGAATTTTTCAGGGATTGTAGTCCTTTGAAAATGATAAAATTCAGTGAAAGATTCAGCTTTCTATCTATAATAGAAAAAAAGTTATGACTTTTCAAAGTTTTCCAAAAAAATCATAAGGGGGGGTACCTTCTTACTAAAACGATGAAATTTCAATTTTTTTTTTGTCGAGATTATGTATCCTAATGGTCAATCAACATACCCCGAACTCCATACAATAATTTATTCTGAGATTTGAAGCCGAAATCTATGAAAAAAGGCACTCAGAAAAATTGAAAAATTGATAAATCACCCCAAATTGCTTAACACGATTTTATCTCAGGAACTATAAGTGCAAATGAGCTGAATTTTTCAGGGATTGTAGTCCTTTGAAAATGATAAAATTCAGTGAAAGATTCAGCTTTCTATCTATAATAGAAAAAAAGTTATGACTTTTCAAAGTTTTCCAAAAAAATAATAAGGGGGGTACCTTCCTACTAAAACGATGAAATTTCAATTTTTTTTTTGTCGAGATTATGTATCCTAATAGTCAATCAACATACCCCGAACTCCATACAATAATTTATTCTGAGATTTGAAGCCGAAATCTATGAAAAAAGGCACTCAGAAAAATTGAAAAATTGATAAGTCACCCCAAATTGCTTAACACGATTTTATCTCAGGAACTATAAGTGCAAATGAGCTGAATTTTTCAGGGATTGTAGTCCTTTGAAAATGATAAAATTCAGTGAAAGATTCAGCTTTCTATCTATAATAGAAAAAAAGTTATGACTTTTCAAAGTTTTCCAAAAAAAATCATAAGGGGGGGGGGGGGTACCTTCCTACTAAAACGATGAAATTTCAATTTTTTTTTTGTCGAGATTATGTATCCTAATGGTCAATCAACATACCCCGAACTCCATACAATAATTTATTCTGAGATTTGAAGCCGAAATCTATGAAAAAAGGCACTCAGAAAAATTGAAAAATTGATAAATCACCCCAAATTGCTTAACACGATTTTATCTCAGGAACTATAAGTGCAAATGAGCTGAATTTTTCAGGGATTGTAGTCCTTTGAAAATGATAAAATTCAGTGAAAGATTCAGCTTTCTATCTATAATAGAAAAAAAGTTATGACTTTTCAAAGTTTTCCAAAAAAAATCATAAGGGGGGTACCTTCTTACTAAAACGATGAAATTTCAATTTTTTTTTTGTCGAGATTATGTATCCTAATAGTCAATCAACATACCCCGAACTCCATACAATAATTTATTCTGAGATTTGAAGCCGAAATCTATGAAAAAAGGCACTCAGAAAAATTGAAAAATTGATAAATCACCCCAAATTGCTTAACACGATTTTATCTCAGGAACTATAAGTGCAAATGAGCTGAATTTTTCAGGGATTGTAGTCCTTTGAAAATGATAAAATTCAGTGAAAGATTCAGCTTTCTATCTATAATAGAAAAAAAGTTATGACTTTTCAAAGTTTTCCAAAAAAATCATAAGGGGGGTACCTTCCTACTAAAACGATGAAATTTCAATTTTTTTTTTGTCGAGATTATGTATCCTAATGGTCAATCAACATACCCCGAACTCCATACAATAATTTATTCTGAGATTTGAAGCCGAAATCTATGAAAAAAGGCACTCAGAAAAATTGAAAAATTGATAAATCACCCCAAATTGCTTAACACGATTTTATCTCAGGAACTATAAGTGCAAATGAGCTGAATTTTTCAGGGATTGTAGTCCTTTGAAAATGATAAAATTCAGTGAAAGATTCAGCTTTCTATCTATAATAGAAAAAAAGTTATGACTTTTCAAAGTTTTCCAAAAAAATCATAAGGGGGGTACCTTCCTACTAAAACGATGAAATTTCAATTTTTTTTTTGTCGAGATTATGTATCCTAATAGTCAATCAACATACCCCGAACTCCATACAATAATTTATTCTGAGATTTGAAGCCGAAATCTATGAAAAAAGGCACTCAGAAAAATTGATAAATCACCCCAAATTGCTTAACACGATTTTATTTCAGGAACTATAAGTGCAAATGAGCTGAATTTTTCAGGGATTGTAGTCCTTTGAAAATGATAAAATTCAGTGAAAGATTCAGCTTTCTATCTATAATAGAAAAAAAGTTATGACTTTTCAAAGTTTTCCGAAAAAATCATAAGGGGGGTACCTTCTTACTAAAACGATGAAATTTCAATTTTTTTTTTGTCGAGATTATGTATCCTAATAGTCAATCAACATACCCCGAACTCCATACAATAATTTATTCTGAGATTTGAAGCCGAAATCTATGAAAAAAGGCACTCAGAAAAATTGAAAAATTGATAAATCACCCCAAATTGCTTAACACGATTTTATCTCAGGAACTATAAGTGCAAATGAGCTGAATTTTTCAGGGATTGTAGTCCTTTGAAAATGATAAAATTCAGTGAAAGATTCAGCTTTCTATCTATAATAGAAAAAAAGTTATGACTTTTCAAAGTTTTCCAAAAAAATCATAAGGGGGGTACCTTCCTACTAAAACGATGAAATTTCAATTTTTTTTTTGTCGAGATTATGTATCCTAATGGTCAATCAACATACCCCCGAACTCCATACAATAATTTATTCTGAGATTTGAAGCCGAAATCTATGAAAAAAGGCACTCAGAAAAATTGAAAAATTGATAAATCACCCCAAATTGCTTAACACGATTTTATCTCAGGAACTATAAGTGCAAATGAGCTGAATTTTTCAGGGATTGTAGTCCTTTGAAAATGATAAAATTCAGTGAAAGATTCAGCTTTCTATCTATAATAGAAAAAAAGTTATGACTTTTCAAAGTTTTCCAAAAAAATCATAAGGGGGGTACCTTCCTACTAAAACGATGAAATTTCAATTTTTTTTTTGTCGAGATTATGTATCCTAATAGTCAATCAACATACCCCGAACTCCATACAATAATTTATTCTGAGATTTGAAGCCGAAATCTATGAAAAAAGGCACTCAGAAAAATTGATAAATCACCCCAAATTGCTTAACACGATTTTATTTCAGGAACTATAAGTGCAAATGAGCTGAATTTTTCAGGGATTGTAGTCCTTTGAAAATGATAAAATTCAGTGAAAGATTCAGCTTTCTATCTATAATAGAAAAAAAAGTTATGACTTTTCAAAGTTTTCCGAAAAAATCATAAGGGGGGTACCTTCTTACTAAAACGATGAAATTTCAATTTTTTTTTTGTCGAGATTATGTATCCTAATAGTCAATCAACATACCCCGAACTCCATACAATAATTTATTCTGAGATTTGAAGCCGAAATCTATGAAAAAAAGGCACTCAGAAAAATTGAAAAATTGATAAATCACCCCAAATTGCTTAACACGATTTTATCTCAGGAACTATAAGTGCAAATGAGCTGAATTTTTCAGGGATTGTAGTCCTTTGAAAATGATAAAATTCAGTGAAAGATTCAGCTTTCTATCTATAATAGAAAAAAAAGTTATGACTTTTCAAAGTTTTCCAAAAAAATCATAAGGGGGGTACCTTCCTACTAAAACGATGAAATTTCAATTTTTTTTTTGTCGAGATTATGTATCCTAATGGTCAATCAACATACCCCGAACTCCATACAATAATTTATTCTGAGATTTGAAGCCGAAATCTATGAAAAAAGGCACTCAGAAAAATTGAAAAATTGATAAATCACCCCAAATTGCTTAACACGATTTTATCTCAGGAACTATAAGTGCAAATGAGCTGAATTTTTCAGGGATTGTAGTCCTTTGAAAATGATAAAATTCAGTGAAAGATTCAGCTTTCTATCTATAATAGAAAAAAAGTTATGACTTTTCAAAGTTTTCCAAAAAAATCATAAGGGGGGTACCTTCTTACTAAAACGATGAAATTTCAATTTTTTTTTTTGTCGAGATTATGTATCCTAATGGTCAATCAACATACCCCGAACTCCATACAATAATTTATTCTGAGATTTGAAGCCGAAATCTATGAAAAAAGGCACTCAGAAAAATTGAAAAATTGATAAATCACCCCAAATTGCTTAACACGATTTTATCTCAGGAACTATAAGTGCAAATGAGCTGAATTTTTCAGGGATTGTAGTCCTTTGAAAATGATAAAATTCAGTGAAAGATTCAGCTTTCTATCTATAATAGAAAAAAAGTTATGACTTTTCAAAGTTTTCCAAAAAAATCATAAGGGGGGTACCTTCCTACTAAAACGATGAAATTTCAATTTTTTTTTTGTCGAGATTATGTATCCTAATGGTCAATCAACATACCCCGAACTCCATACAATAATTTATTCTGAGATTTGAAGCCGAAATCTATGAAAAAAGGCACTCAGAAAAATTGAAAAATTGATAAATCACCCCAAATTGCTTAACACGATTTTATCTCAGGAACTATAAGTGCAAATGAGCTGAATTTTTCAGGGATTGTAGTCCTTTGAAAATGATAAAATTCAGTGAAAGATTCAGCTTTCTATCTATAATAGAAAAAAAGTTATGACTTTTCAAAGTTTTCCAAAAAAATAATAAGGGGGGTACCTTCCTACTAAAACGATGAAATTTCAATTTTTTTTTTGTCGAGATTATGTATCCTAATAGTCAATCAACATACCCCGAACTCCATACAATAATTTATTCTGAGATTTGAAGCCGAAATCTATGAAAAAAGGCACTCAGAAAAATTGAAAAATTGATAAGTCACCCCAAATTGCTTAACACGATTTTATCTCAGGAACTATAAGTGCAAATGAGCTGAATTTTTCAGGGATTGTAGTCCTTTGAAAATGATAAAATTCAGTGAAAGATTCAGCTTTCTATCTATAATAGAAAAAAAGTTATGACTTTTCAAAGTTTTCCAAAAAAATCATAAGGGGGGTACCTTCCTACTAAAACGATGAAATTTCAATTTTTTTTTTGTCGAGATTATGTATCCTAATGGTCAATCAACATACCCCGAACTCCATACAATAATTTATTCTGAGATTTGAAGCCGAAATCTATGAAAAAAGGCACTCAGAAAAATTGAAAAATTGATAAATCACCCCAAATTGCTTAACACGATTTTATCTCAGGAACTATAAGTGCAAATGAGCTGAATTTTTCAGGGATTGTAGTCCTTTGAAAATGATAAAATTCAGTGAAAGATTCAGCTTTCTATCTATAATAGAAAAAAAGTTATGACTTTTCAAAGTTTTCCAAAAAAATCATAAGGGGGGTACCTTCTTACTAAAACGATGAAATTTCAATTTTTTTTTTTGTCGAGATTATGTATCCTAATGGTCAATCAACATACCCCGAACTCCATACAATAATTTATTCTGAGATTTGAAGCCGAAATCTATGAAAAAAGGCACTCAGAAAAATTGAAAAATTGATAAATCACCCCAAATTGCTTAACACAATTTTATCTCAGGAACTATAAGTGCAAATGAGCTGAATTTTTCAGGGATTGTAGTCCTTTGAAAATGATAAAATTCAGTGAAAGATTCAGCTTTCTATCTATAATAGAAAAAAAGTTATGACTTTTCAAAGTTTTCCAAAAAAATCATAAGGGGGGTACCTTCTTACTAAAACGATGAAATTTCAATTTTTTTTTTGTCGAGATTATGTATCCTAATAGTCAATCAACATACCCCGAACTCCATACAATAATTTATTCTGAGATTTGAAGCCGAAATCTATGAAAAAAGGCACTCAGAAAAATTGAAAAATTGATAAATCACCCCAAATTGCTTAACACGATTTTATCTCAGGAACTATAAGTGCAAATGAGCTGAATTTTTCAGGGATTGTAGTCCTTTGAAAATGATAAAATTCAGTGAAAGATTCAGCTTTCTATCTATAATAGAAAAAAAGTTATGACTTTTCAAAGTTTTCCAAAAAAATCATAAGGGGGGTACCTTCCTACTAAAACGATGAAATTTCAATTTTTTTTTTGTCGAGATTATGTATCCTAATGGTCAATCAACATACCCCGAACTCCATACAATAATTTATTCTGAGATTTGAAGCCGAAATCTATGAAAAAAGGCACTCAGAAAAATTGAAAAATTGATAAATCACCCCAAATTGCTTAACACGATTTTATCTCAGGAACTATAAGTGCAAATGAGCTGAATTTTTCAGGGATTGTAGTCCTTTGAAAATGATAAAATTCAGTGAAAGATTCAGCTTTCTATCTATAATAGAAAAAAAGTTATGACTTTTCAAAGTTTTCCAAAAAAATCATAAGGGGGGTACCTTCCTACTAAAACGATGAAATTTCAATTTTTTTTTTGTCGAGATTATGTATCCTAATAGTCAATCAACATACCCCGAACTCCATACAATAATTTATTCTGAGATTTGAAGCCGAAATCTATGAAAAAAGGCACTCAGAAAAATTGATAAATCACCCCAAATTGCTTAACACGATTTTATTTCAGGAACTATAAGTGCAAATGAGCTGAATTTTTCAGGGATTGTAGTCCTTTGAAAATGATAAAATTCAGTGAAAGATTCAGCTTTCTATCTATAATAGAAAAAAAGTTATGACTTTTCAAAGTTTTCCGAAAAAATCATAAGGGGGGTACCTTCTTACTAAAACGATGAAATTTCAATTTTTTTTTTGTCGAGATTATGTATCCTAATAGTCAATCAACATACCCCGAACTCCATACAATAATTTATTCTGAGATTTGAAGCCGAAATCTATGAAAAAAGGCACTCAGAAAAATTGAAAAATTTATAAATCACCCCAAATTGCTTAACACGATTTTATCTCAGGAACTATAAGTGCAAATGAGCTGAATTTTTCAGGGATTGTAGTCCTTTGAAAATGATAAAATTCAGTGAAAGATTCAGCTTTCTATCTATAATAGAAAAAAAGTTATGACTTTTCAAAGTTTTCCAAAAAAATCATAAGGGGGGTACCTTCCTACTAAAACGATGAAATTTCAATTTTTTTTTTGTCGAGATTATGTATCCTAATGGTCAATCAACATACCCCGAACTCCATACACTAAATTATTCTCAGATTTGAAGCCGAACTCTATGAAAAAATGCACTCAGAAAAATTGAAAAATTGATAAATCACCGAAATTGCTTGGCACGATTTTATCTCAGGAACTATAAGTGCAAATGAGCTGACATTTTCAGGGATTGTAATCCTTTAGAAAAGATAAAATTCAGTGAAAGATTCAGCTTTCTATCTATAATAGAAAAAAAGTTATGACTTTCTAAAGTTTTTTTTCTGTCAAAATTTTGTAATCTAATGGTCAATTAACATACCCCAAACTCCATAAACTAAATTATTCTTAGATTTGAAGCCAAAATCTATGAACAAAGGCACTAAGAAAAATTGAAAAACACTACAAACCCATTAATTGAGATTTTCAATTTAGCTTCAATTAACACTTAATATTTATTTCTGTATGAGTGGGTTTTTAACATAAAAAACTCAAACCTCACTGGATTTCAATGAAATAGTAAGAAGGTTTGGAATGAGCTTTGTGTTATTGAAATGATTCCAGAAAGAGATAGCGCTAGTAAGAGCAGGAAATCTATTGGATCTCCCAGATCTCTCACTTAAACCCTAAGTGAGATAGCACTAGTAAGGACAGGAAAATCTCATGGATCACTCCTGTACTCTCACTCCAATCTTGGCCACAAATATTGAGTAAATAGGCAAGAGGCCATTCCAAACCTTACTACTTCATTGATGCCAACCCAAAAACATTATGTTCAGTAGAAAATAAAGCATTAGATGCATTTTAGATTATAATGCCCTTCAGGCAAATTATATCTCTTGGGCTAGTTTCAGCTTCTGGGCATTATAATCTAAATAATGCCCTAGATACATAAATAAAATACCTATTTATTTACTTGTTATGTATGTCATCAAATATCTCTTACCTATTCCGCCTTGCCGCTCTTAGTACCTGAGTCTGAGTTGGTTGCTGAAACACTGGCTCAACTGCAGCTGGTTCTCCTAGGGAATGTTCATCGGAATGTTTGATAAACAAGGGATCTTCTTGAGGCTCATTTCCAATATTTGTCAGTGGTTTTTTAATAGTATCTGGATCCACCCAATTTGTACTCTCCACAGGCACCTTTTCTTCAAGCTTTTTATTGTTCTTTTCGTCTACAGGTTCTTGACTGTAGCCCCTCAATTTGCGTTTGGCGCTTAGATAGCTTTTTACTGATCTAGTTACAGGGGCGTTGTTGCCCCTTTTGCTAGGAGGAGGGGGCTGGGTGCTAGTAGTTTCAGAAGATTTTCGTTTTCTGGACACGTTTTCTGAGTTTTCATTGCAAATGCCTTTGCATTTCGTGCACAGCACTTGCCTAGGCCTTAACCTTACTGTCATTTTATTATTTTTGTATTTGTTTGGTACCTAAAAGGATGTTTTTATAGATTTGCAATTTAGTTGATTTTATTTAATTGACCTGTATTTTTTTCTTTTGGACATTGGGGTCCAAATAGGCAAATCTTTGATTGACAGCGTATAAGGGGTCTTCGACTGGGTTTTTTGGTACATTAAAGACTGGGTTTAGATTTGGTACTCCGCAGGGTAAGTTTCTGAAAATGATTTTGAGACAATGGACAATTTGGTTTGTATTAAATTGAAAAATACTGCTATTGAGTGAATGAAAAGGGTGTAGCTTTGAGACAAAAGGGTCCTCAAAAAAAGGCATTTTCTTACCTTTTGCTGGACTCTAAAAGCACCCCTTTGAATATTTTCAAGCCAAATTCGTACGTTACAATTAAAATATCGGGCAGAGCCTCCTCGACAAAGACGGAAACGTTGGTTTTTTTCAACAAAGTTATATCCCCATTTTGGTCGGCCATATTTGTTACAACTACCTTTCGCTTTTGTGTGTGTTTTTCGAAATGCCCCTGTATAAATTTTTGTATGAGGGCCCCTTAAGTTTGGGCTTGAATTTTTAGAAATTAAACGGGGTTTTTAATGAGTGACCTTCGAAATTCCAAGAAATCCTTGCCTTGTGATAATGGGAAAAAGCATGAAAAAATCCAAGAAAATTAACCTCCAAAATAGAAGAGGGCTTATCGATATAATGCATCGATAACAATACGAATTTGTCATCTCGATGAGGATCTTGCAAATGATCATATTTTTTTCTATACCAGGCTCTTGAATTATTTTCATTTGGACAAATTCAAGAGCCGGGAATAAACAAAAATTGAGAAAAAAACTGCTACACACAGTATTGTATCGATACCTATGACGAATATCGATAAATCCTTCTTTACTCTTTAATCCAAAAAAAAATTAAAGTTTGACACTTACGACAGTTGGTACTCTGATTCTAGCCCTTTAAATTTTCCCGTCAAGTTGGCAACACATTTGAAAATTAATTAAAAAAGTTTAAACTAATCGAATTTCATCAATAATTTTATTACAATAATTAATAATTTAGGTAATAACCTTCTAAAAAATCAAAAAACCAAAATATTTTAAATCCATACATGTGGCAGAGGAACATCCAATTAACTGGATGATGTCCTTTGTCTTTTTTCAATCGTGTTTATTGAAGAAAGATAAAAAAAACCAGCTAGGTGATCGAGTTGATCGAATCAGCGTTTCCGAATAGGCCTTATGGCCTATCAAAATCAGCTGTTACAACAATCAGCTGTTAGTAATCAACTTTTAAAAAACTGTGAAATATTTTTATTAGTGACGTGCTTGTACTACTGTGTGACAGTGAAATTCTCTCTTCAGTCTTTACAAGTGATTTTTTTTTAAATAAAACACAAAAAACTAGAGAAAATTCCAGCATTTAATTAAATGGAGTTTTAAATTCTAATTAAACTATGCCAGCATAATGGAAAACTCAACTACAAACGGTGAACTAGAATGGCTGGACAGTATCAACAACACTTGGGCCCAAAAGGACACAGACGACATTGCAAATCGAGATTCCGTACAGTCCATGTACGATATTCTAGTGCAAAATAAAGAAGTCCGATTGCTTCCTACAAGTTTGGCTTGTTATCACGACGTTCAGGCTCTTCCTAGTTTCCAGTATGAACCAGCCACTTTGGTGGAATTGAATGGGTTTTTGAATACTTTGCTTACATCTCAGGTGAGAATTTTACATGCCTATATATACATTGTGAGTTAAGTTTGTTTTGTTTAAATAGTTTCAACTAGCCAAAGAAATATGTTCCTCTTCGCAATTCTCCATTCTATTGAAGCAAAGGATGCTTATATTGAAGCGTATTTATTATGCCTTAATGATGAGGTATCATGATAAGGAGAAATCTACAGAGGAACAGCCTCAAAATGCTGCTAAAAGTACTCTTGTTGTTAGTACAGCGAATAAGGAAATTTTAACTGGTAAGTCTTTAAGGGTCAGTATTTAAGGTACAGAATATTTATTTATTTATTTATTTATTTATTAACGGGCCTTACCCACTTTTAGTACAAAAATTTAACAAATTTTAACAAAATTAACCCGAGGGGGTAACATCTTCTTAAATTTTGTGACAGTATTGCGACAATCCCTATGATTTCCCTACGATTGCTGGGATTGCGACTACAATCTGGGATTGTGAAGCGATTGTCGGATTTTGCTACTACTGAGTTACACTGACATATTATCTAGGGAACATATTTATTTATTTTGGCCATTAGATTAATAACCCACAAATAAAAATATGAGTAAAAATATGAACAAATAATTATTTTATTTGCAATCATATATTTAATCTTGTCATTACTGACTTTTTAAAAATTTGGAAGTGACACTTTACCTGTGTCACTTTCCTCTTCGATTTCCCTCACCGATTTCCCTATTCGACTTCCCTCACCGATTTCCCTCACTCTAATTTATTTACATTTGCTGGCTACAATGAGAACATGTCAGGTAAAAACGTCAAAGCAGTGAATGACACATTTTGGCACGTTTGTTTTATTTTTTTAATATTAAAAAAATTGATTGACTAATCATAATTAATGGTGTGCTTGCAAATAAAATAGTATACAAACCTCGGAGGAAAGTTTTCATTTCTGTCTCGAGATTAATAGTCAATCTCGACGCTTTGCGTCTATTCTTTCAAGAATTTCAAAGTAAGTATATGGGTATGTATACAGGGTATGTTCCTTATAATCAAGTAGTGCGGCTTCTACAACTTGAACAAAAAAAAACTAATAAGAAAAGTTGATGAAAAAGTTAGGGTTTTATCTTTATTATCTTTTGCACATATCAAAACCGACAAATGAGAGGTGTCAACTGTCATAATGACAAACACTTTCATTTTTTCAAATGGACCACCCTGTATATTTTTGGATAGAATTATAGAATGTTTTCTTCTGATTCCAAATATGTATACCATTTGTTGATATTTGGTTCTGCCTGCTGTTTTTGCAATATTTGAGTTTAAAAATGCATTTTCATTACCCTAAATTAGGTCTGTTACCAATTTCTTATATCAATGGTATGGCTTACTTGATGCGTGAAAAGAGCTGAACCAAATATCAACATAGGTATATGGTATATTTGGAAACAGAAGAAAAAAAATCAATCATGCTAGCCAAAAATATACAGGGTGTTCCATTAAAAAAAAAAATACAAATGTTTATCATTATGACAGTTGGTCAACGAAGTTGAATGGATATTTTTTTTTCTGAAGAACTTCATTTTATACTTCATATCAACATCTAACGTCTCTATAATCCTGCCAATATGCCATGTATCATATGCAGCAGCATAGTATGATTCTTCATTTCTAAAAGACACATCACAAAATGTCTTTTCCTCTGCTCTCATTTCCCAATTCACTTTTTTCTGAGTAGCTTCCACTTTCAGAGGTTTCGGCATCTTCCATGCTTGGAACCCTTTTTGATTGCAGTTTTTTATTTTTGCTCTTCTGATGATAGGCTTTATAATAGTCCCATCACAGTTTAATAACACAGAGTTCAATCGCTAATCAGAATCAGAATCAGAATCAGAATCGTTTATTGGTGCTTAAAAATACACAGTACAGTGTTTACACAAGTCAAAATAATCAAATACAATTTAGTAATCTAAAATTACAATTTCATTAAAAAATTAGACTAACTATCTATTTCACATGATTTTAAATATCTGCTTTACAAAAATATAAAAGTTATGTTTAAAAATTCCAACAACAATTACAAATTTACTGTCACTCACTAATACAACAATTATCAGGACAAGGACATTTAAAAGTTTGGAATCAATAAATAAAATTAAAAAAAAAAAAGCATATAGCAATGACTAGAGACAATTTTTGGTTGGTGCAACTGTAAAGAACAATAATTGATATAATAATAAATATGAAAAATAATTTATTTGTTTGTTTTAAATAATGTTTGTGCCTGTCCAGCTGAGTGTGGAATTATAAAATTCATCTAGGCTGTAAAACGCCTTAATTATGAGAAAATCTTTAATTTTTTTCTTAAATTCGGAATTATTTAGTTGTATTACATGCTCTGGTAGTTTGTTAAAAAGTTTTACAGCATGATATCCAGGTCCACCCTGACATCTCTGTAAACGATGGTAGATGGGTCTTAAGTTATTTTTGTTTCTCGTGTCATGGCTGTGAAAATCACCATTACACATAAATGAATCATAATGGTCCCTAACATAAACCAGATTTTGCAGGATATACTCACAGGGCAATGTCAAAATTCTGTTGTCAATAAAAGCCTGCTTGCAGTCATCTCGATAGTCCAAACCAGCCACTATTCTAACAGCCCTTCTCTGCACAGAGAAAACCCTTTGTGCTCCATTTGCATGACCCCATATTAGCAAAGCATAACCTACATGTGAGTGTAGCAAAGAAAAGTATGTTTGTTTTGTAACTCTAGATGAGACACATCTTGCCAAATTTCTTAATAAAAAAGTGTTTTTGCAAAGCTTATTTGAAATTATTTCAGTGTGTGCATCCCAAAGAAGTTTTTGGTCAAGATGCACTCCTAAGAATTTTACACTGTTGGTCATGGGTTCTATATTTTTTAGAGAAAAAGTATAGTTTTGGGTTTTAGATTCATTCAAAAAGAGTTTGTTAGCAGCAAACCATTGCCTAGCCCTCAACTGTGCCTCCCTCGACATACAGACAGCTGTTGGTAGATCTGGATGCTGAACTTGACCTGTGGTATCGTCCGCAAATTTTACATACTTTTCGAACTCCGCTATTTTGGGTAGATCATTAATATAGATTAGGAATAGAATAGGACCCACAATTGAGCCCTGTGGTACGCCTATGTTTATTTCTCGTTCGCTCGAATTAATGTCATTATAGTTAACAATCTGAGTTCGTTTAGTCAGATAGGATTTTATTAGATCCACACTGTCGTTTGAAAATTTGTAAAAAGGCAGTTTTTTAAGCAGGATATCGTGCGAGACACAGTCAAAGGCCTTGCTCAGGTCACAGAAGGTGGTAACTGTGTGTTGAGAGCTCTCAAAACCTTCCATTATACCTTCTACCAATTTTAAAATTGCTAAAGTTGTATTCTTGCCCCTCCTAAAGCCAAACTGACTATTACTAAGTAGGTCATTTTGCTCTAGGTAACTCGATATTTGTATAGCTATGCATTTTTCAAGAATCTTCGATAAAACTGGCAGGAGTGAGATCGGTCTGTAGTTGCCTGGATCATTTGGATCTCCTTTTTTAAATATTGGAATTACTTTCGCTGTTTTTAGACAATTTGGAAAGGTTTTCTCTTTAATGCAATGATTTATTAATTTTGTAAGAGGTGTTATTAGGAGATTTTTGACTGATTTTATTAGGGTTATATTAAGGTTGAAAATATCCTTGCTTGTCTTGTTTTTAAGCTGGTCAATCACATCACGTACTTCGTTAAATGAGAGTTCCTTAAAGGAAAAGGATTGATTATTTGCATTAATTTTAAGTAAATTC